GGCACTAGAGTTGAAACCCAAATCCTATGAAGCCTATTACGCACGAGCCCGTGCCAAGCGCAGCAGCAGGTAACCGTAGCAACCAACAGGCAGGACAGCCTATAAAACACATTCTGTCTCGCACAGATCGAGTGCTGACAGATCGTGACCCAAACTGGCCAAATGTGTTTCGATTGGTTGGCGTAGTGCTATGCTAGACTTTCCAGATAGAAATCAATTGAAGCCCCTTGACTTCTGCCTCATTAGTAGACAACATCAGGATTAGACCTGTTCTTCATACTTCATGTTGTGTTGAACAATCAAATTATTTTTTCTCAGAATGCCCATCATTCACATTTTATTCCTTTTTCTCTTTTTATCAGCTTATTTTATTTGGATTTATTTCATTTATTTTTTTGTGGGGGGGGGGGGGGGTCGTCTATGATTTTCATTGGTAAAATTACTAAAGGAATGTTCCAGGTTCAATACAAGTTAACCTTGAAATCTACAATGAAAGTCTATGGGCATCCCGGAAGAAAAAGAAAAACTTGTGTTTTTGTCAAAGCACTTTAATTTGTTTCGGTACAATTTTATTTATTAAATTATTTTTGAGCCGTCTAAATCCTAATTTTTGGGATGGGGGTACTGTTTTAGGTAGATTCACTTATCTACTGGTTATGCACTGCAAACACAATTCCGAGTGAATCTCTTTTTTGTGTGCAAATATATTATAAAGGTTGTCAGGTTTTGTTTTCTTGTTGGCTAATCTTCTACAAAAAATAAAATTAAAAGTTTACTTTTAACCAGGGTTTAAAAATGCAAAACAAATCAATCAGTTCACCCCGAACAGAATCATAATGTAACATTTCTATTCCTGCTTTACTTCTGTAACATATAGTTCTGAAAACCGTTTGATTAATAACTACCATAATAACCGTATGAATAATCAGTTCATATTTTTTTTACTTCTTTTTTTTTTTGTGCCTACTCTTTATACCAGATATTCAATAGAACTTTATACTAAATAGCTTTATACTATGAGCTTGTGCCTAAACCTTGTAAATCGAGTGGATCCTCAAACTGTCGGCAAAACCACATACAATAGTTCCACCTGCCTAAATTGTGAATGAAGTTCTTTGAATTAGTATAGTGTTTTCGTTATTCAAAAAACACGATGCTTGTAAAGGCTTATGTTTTATGTAAGAGTGTCAGTCTAGTATTTTCCCTCTAATCATAGCCAGTACAGCCTGTGCAAAGCACTTAATCTTTTATATCACACGATTTTGGCCAAATATATTAAATGACATTCTTCAATAAATTTTGTAACCTGAATACCGGTTCTTTGAATCCGTTGTTGGCCCATAGACTTCCACTGTAAGTGCATTACTCTTTAAACAAACCGAGGAATGGGTTCTAATTATTCTGTGTGGTAATTGTCAACGAGCCACTTCAGATGCTGTTGATAAAGATTTATTTACATTGATCCCTTCTTTCTCTCTACCTACTGCCACATTCCACCTTCCTACTCTCTCTCATTCTCCGTCTCCCTTGCTGTAGGCAATTCCACGCAGCCCTGGAGGACCTGAGTGAAGCCATGTGTCTTTGTCCCAATAACCGCGAGATCCAGCGCCTGCTGCAACGCGTGGAAGAAGAGTGTCATCAGGTTGAACAGCATCAGGAGCTGGATCCTCCTCCTTCCCCTCCCCGCGATCAAGCCCCATCCATGATACCGCCTCCACCAATGGAGCCCCATATTTCAGACATGGAGCCTGTCCAGGACTTGTTTGTGGAGGATGACGATTACCTTGAGCGGGATTTAGATGGCGTTCCCACTGAGCCCCACACTCTTCCATCGGGACTTCCAGTTATTCAGAACATGCCTCCATCTCCAAGCCATCATGATTCACCCTACTTGGGCCAAGCATATGACCTTCGCCCCAGCCCCCCTTCAATGTCCTCTCCTACACGGCAAGGCTATCAATCCACCTCACCGTCGCTCTCCCCAACGCACCAGAGCTCCCACTTCCGGCCCAGTCCCCCTCATCAGGCCTCCTACCACTTCAGCCCACCACCATCACCATTACGCCGTGGAACACAGTATCGTGCCAGCCCCACCTCTGAGGGAGTTGCCATGTACCGTCCCCAGTCCGCCTCTGCAGGACGCTACCAACAGGACCAGCTTGCAGGACGACCCAAGTCCCCCCTGTCCAAGATGAGCAGCCAGCGTTCATTCCAATTTTCCCAGCAGACTTCCCAGCCATCACAACAAAGCCAGTGGTTGCAGCCAGCTAAAGCACAGATCATCCGCACCAACCAGCCCAGCTCCGCGGTACACTCCAGTGCCGTGCTGGGTAGTAGTGCGTACAGTCAGATTGCTCACTCGATGAGTGCCCGCTGCCCAGGTGACATGGATGAAGTTGGGGATGGAGGATATTCTTCTTCACTTCAGCCTCAAGGCAGTCTGAGTGCAGGGGCCTTGTACCAGCGTGCCATCAGCATGGATCCTGGCCTTGTGGAGGATGAGCTTCCCCACAGGCCCTCCTCTGCCTACCGACCCAGTCCTGGAGGTGTCCGCTATGGACAGACCCCACAGATCAGCCGCAGTCAGTCGACCGCCTACTATCCGGTCGAAATGGAGCGACAGGTGACGCTAGGTTCACCTGAGAACCTTCATGCACACCGACGTCCAGTCAGTGCCAATAACGTAGAACCCAAACAGCACCCACCAGCTCCACGCCCCCTTATTCACTCCCACAGTACAGGTCTACGCTTCTCGCCATCCAACAACAGTTTAGTGGCAGGTTCTGCTGCTAACCTAGGTCCAGGCTTCAGGGCGTCAGCTTCCGCACAGCAAATGGAGATACCCTTAAATATTTCCTATGAAGGAAGCTACCATGATGACCTTTCCCCGATGTCACCCCCACAAGGCACAGACTTCCGGGTGGTGGGTGGAACATATCCAGGAGAGGCCCTTCGCTCCCGCAACACACCTTTCATGGGCATCATAGACAAGACCGCACGGACTCAGCAGTACCTCCAGCAGCAGCCTTCGCTTGCCTCGTCCTCCTCGGGTTCTCGACCCTGGGCTGTTTCGTCTCTGGATACAGTGGTGAACAGCCCAGCAACTTCTCCTAGCAACATGGGATACGGGCAGCAAACGACACCCCTCAGCCATATCGCCTACTACAACCGCACCAACAACGCTCACAATGGCCACCTAATGGATGATGATTTCTACGCCAACCCTCCTGGTGTGACGCGGGACCGGGCGGACGCGATGGGCAGAGTTAGTCAGGTTCCCACATACCCAGATGTGAAAGTGGCACGGACTCTACCAGTTTCCCAGGCCTATCAGGACAATGAGTATAGGCAGATATCTCGCAATGAAAGGCAAGGCCCAACCTCACCCATTAAACCAAAGAGACCTTTTGTGGAGTCTAATGTATAAGAAGAATGAGTCTGTGTGCAAGATTTATCAGAACATTCCAGAGGAATATCTAACAAGTTGAACATCTTATCCTTAGATTTTTTGCTCCCATATCTTGATGGTGAAACTGCAGACCTGTTGAGGTGAATTCCACTTTTGTGAAATGAATCTAGCATGTACTGTGCATCTGTATTTGCTCTGGACACATAAATGGAAGTAACAAGACCCATTGGAGTAAAAGTAGGCCTGTGTAACTGCTGTACACCAACCTTCTACTTTTCTGTACCTTATGAGAGGGTGGCTACTCAATGCCAGCCATGGACAATATGATGAGCATTGCCCTTGGACCAGATGTCCCCAATGATGTCCCCGCTCAGACCAGTAATAATCCCTGAGAAACCTGCCGTGTCTTGAGTTAAAAATGAAATAGTCTGAAATGAACTGAAATATTCCAGATCAATATTGCTTAAGCAAAAAAGTCATATTTAATATTTTAAGTTATGTTTGTAAAAATATATATGTATATCTAAATTTCAATGCAGTTGTGTTTTTCAGTTTGCCTTTACTTCCTAAGTTGAGATACATTCAGCAATGTGAAATATTTTTAGACTTTTTATGGGCATTTTTATTTTTTGTCAACAGGATTTCTGCAAAGATATGTAGTGGTAGGCTAACGATCTGCTCATAGGAAGTAGCATCCGTGTAGTCAGCCGTTAATTTACTTTGTCACACCGTTAAAGGGGAATTTATCTTTTCCAAAGAAACTTTTTTTCATGGGAAATAGGCGTGGGGGAAACTTCTTTTTTGCAGCCTCAGAATCCACGTGCTCTCATCCATGTTTCGAGAGTTTTTTTGTGCACTGAAATGTTCACATAAGTTGTGAATCTGTCTGCCTTCATGTTTGCCTCACCATTGAACTAACGTACTATTGGAAGGTCAGGCACATTTTTAATGGATGTCTTGACAGTGTATTTTGGGAGGATGGCAGCAAGTCAGATTCGGCTTAACTAATCAATGTCAACTGCTGTTGAAAAAGAGCAGGTCTTTCTGCAGCGATTTTTTTTTTCTCTCTCTCTCTTTTTAGAAAAAACATTTGGTGCACTCAGAGTTGACCTGGAACACTGCTTACTGTACAACAGTGTTTGTATTTAACTATTTGTTTTTCTTTTGTATGACAAAAATGTACATGGCTGTAAATAATGTGCTGAACTAGAACGCATGCTCTCTGCTAATACACAAACCCGAGTGTGGTTTTATGTACGAGGGAAAAGACTGTGGCACAATATATTTCCTTGTTTCCCTTGCTAGAGGAAAAAAAAGTACTGAAGTTTAGGTTTTGTATGTAATTTGTTTTAATATTTTGATTTTGTTTATAAGTGGGCTTACAAAGGAGAAATCAGTGTAAAGTGTCTGTATGTGTGAGCTGTGTTGTTTTGCTGGGAAGGAAAATCAGAAACGTGAATGACTTTTTATCCAGTTACACGATTGTAAACTGTACAATCATCTGTATGTATGAGGGAAATACTGAGCTTATTTAAAAAAGAATACTACTTCAAAGAAAATCAAGGTGAAATAACTTACCACTGAGTCGAACTTATTTCTCATGAATTTATTTTTATACTGTAAATCCTTAATCACAACTGGACTCAAAATCAAACATTATGAACATACTGATATTTTACATCAAATAGAAAACAGTGATATAAATATTGGCACTACACTTGCAACAGAAAAGTACATTGCAATGAAAATACAGTACAAGGGCACCAGCAGATCATCTGTACAATCTTTCAGTTGGAAGGAGTGTGTGTGTGTGCGCGCATTACTAAGTCATCAATTACTATAATTTAATTACTTTTCCCTTGAAAAAGTGAAGGAATTTTTTTTATGTTACTTCTGATGTAATTGCATTAAATACTATATAGACAATAGAGCAATTCTTTAATAATCATGGATTTAAAATCAAGCTTTAACGTCTAATGTTAAAATATAAGTTTATAATATAACTTTCTGACTTTAAATACTTTGGTCAGACTCAGTTCAAGAATAATTTATAAAATTGTATCATGTCTATTCGTGTATTGTTCAACTGGTCGAGGTTGATATAGGATTTAGAAAGTAATGCAATACTTTATAGAGAGAGTAATTAATACAGTAATCTAATTAAACTGTTAAAGATGTACAATTAGTGGCAAGAAATGAATGAATTTAGTAACTTACTAAACTCTGTGTGATATAGTAATCTAGATCGATAGAATCTAAATTCTAAGGCACAAGAAAGTACATCCAGCATTTAAACACTATATAATTGTATATTGTGTGTATATACAAAATATATCAATAATTAGAAATCATTCCAAAATAAAAGAGCCTAATCCTGAAAAAAACAAAACAATATATAACATTTAATTACTAAAAATAATAAAAACAGTAACATGTTTTCTGTTCCATACATGGTGGTAATTTAATCCTGCTTTAACGTACATAGGACAAGGGGGTGTCAAGTACAAATAATACGAAGACTGCAAATGAAGGAACTGGCTGACAGGTTTGCTTAGACACGGGCAGAAAGGCAGTTGTTGGAGTAAATTAAGACATTAAGGGGAACTGGGGATTTCTCCTTCCGACAGGGTCTTAAAATGCACAGATAGAGCCTCCTCCTCAGGATTCGGTGGTCGCCTGAAATCCTCTCTCGTCACCACGTAACCCACCAAGACCCCAAAGCACACCAGCAACAAGCCTAAAATATTTGCCAGGACCCCCTCAGCAACAAACTTGGAGTAAGTAGGCCTGAGAACAGGAAATGTGCCATAAAATCTTTATTGGTTAATGAATGGAAAAACACTGTTGTAACTTGCAAAACTTAACACAAGCTAGGCCCTCTTCTAAACTGAAACGCAAAAGGGTTAGTTCACCCAAAAATGCAAATTTTGGGTGACATTTTGTCATCAATGACTCACCCTCATGTTGTTCCAAGCCCGTAAGGCCTCCGTTCATCTTCAGAACACAGTATAAGAAATTTTTAGATTTAGTCAGAGAGTTTTCTGTCCCGCCATTGAAAATGTATGTACGGTATACTGTCCTTGTCCAGAAAGGAAATAAAGACATTATCAAAGTAGTCCATGTGACATCAATGGGTTGGTTAGAATGTTTTGAAGCATCGAAAATACATTTTGGTCCAAAAACGACGACTTTATTTGGTGCGGACATCCGAAGATGAACGGAGGTCTTACGGGCTTGGGACGACATGAGGGTGAGTGATCAATTCATGAATTCATTTTTGGGTGTACTAACCCTTTAAGGGTGTTTATTTATGTGTTAATGAAGTTAAACATTTTTTAAAATAAACTATTCATGAGTAACACATTCAAATATATTGAATGAATCCAGCATTTGATGCTCCACAGTGAGAGATGGAGGAAAGAAGCCAAATATAATTAATATTCATTGAAAGTCTCTTTCCGCTGTGACTCATTCACCGGGTGACTCATTCCTTTCTTCTCATTCAAATTGTTTACCTCAGCTTAGTGACATCAGATGTTATTTTCAAAAATGATATTCGTTAGATGACACTCACATGATACTGAAGAGCAGTTTCTCTGTGATTCCCAGCAGGCAGGATCCCACAGACATGGCCAGCAGCAACAGGCCGAAGAACACGTGCAGAGGGAGATACCAGCTCCTCAGCTGAGCAGATGCCCATGGGAAAAGGAAAAATCCCAGTCCCAGTAACCACTGGAGCAAAGGAGAGGAGGAGGTCAGTCCTAAGACAACTTGAGGCGATCTATTCCATCGGCCTCTTAAAAAATGTTTTAGGATCGGCTATCCTCAAATTATGAAAAGGATATATAAAAAATGTATAATCCGTAAAAAATAATAATAATAAAAAAAATAATTAGAAAAAAAATATATAATGGAATTACTTTTTTTATTTTATACATAAACAATTTTGCAGAACAGTCATGATGCAGCTCAACTGTTCAAATAAGGAATAAGGAAGATGTTTAAATGCAAACAGACCTTCGCCCTGGTCAAAAGGGAATAACTGCAAATTACCTGCAGGAAAAACAGCACAAAAGTGAGCATGCCACACCAGCTGTGCAGACTATACATGTGAGAGATCTTAGCCGATGAATGGAAATCAAATGCGGCCACAAGACCTGAGGTGAGAGAGAGAGAGATAATTAAAAACATATACTTTTTATTTTTCCACACAATTAATTTAAATCAATAAAAAAGTTTTAGTAGACTTTTAAGATCCTTGTATGTCTGAAAATCTCCCATCACTATTCAAAAAATTCCACTATCATAAAAAAAGTTTTGTCCTACCCTGATTCACTATGGTAAGCCTATTATAATTGTTTAGATTTTAGACGGAGCAGGATGCTTTTCGCACAAAACTTGACACAATAACCTGCAAAGTTTCGTGCTATCAAAGTTTCGCCGATTTAGTGCACGCACTGAGACGAGAGAGGTATGTATCAACTCATCTTAGTTAAGGCAATAACATTGTTTATTTAAAAAAAAAAAAACGGTGGATTATCCCTTTAAGAGCAGTAGTGAATGTTTTCTGAGCAGGAGGATAACCATATTCATCCACAGTCACACAGATGCCGAAGCACAACCAAAACCATATTCTTTTGCAAAATGCATGTTGTTTTGTTTTTTACCGCTAGAGGGCCAAAAGTTACGTCATGTAACTCATTTTTTTTTTTTTTTTTTTTAAAGAAGAAAATCTTACTGAGCCCAAAATTGTAAACGGTAGAGTACATATAAACAATTAAGTTGCACCCATTGGTGTTGACTTCTGGAAATACAAATCTAGTTATCCTGTGCCCTGCAACTACTAAAATACATCTGTTTACATACAATACAAAATACATACAATTTTAGTTTTCCCCTTATTTAATGGTTCAAAAACTGCACATTAGTCATGGGAAATGGCTGTGAATTTCAGCTAAAATCTATCAATAAACAAATACCCAGCAAAACAAGCCAAATGTACATGTAATCTACGTTTTCTTCTAGCCTGTTAGCACACGCATGTTGGACTTACCCACAATACTGATGATGAGGGCCATCATATGCAGCAGAGCGTGGAGAATTTTCACAGAACGTTTAGTCTCATTTCTGAAGACACGGTAAACCAGAACAGCTGTGGTAGAGAAAGAACAAGCTCTTATTAAGCCATTTTACCATATGTGAAAAGGTTAGCCAATTATAAAATAATTACAAGTCTTCAGTAACAGACAGAAGTGCTAAAGGCACTAAAAACAGCCTTCATCAGGATTGAAATTCTACAGATGCAGTACCTTTTCAAATAACAGCTGAAGATGTATTCCTCTGTGTCTTTTTGGCCTTTGTACAAGCAGACAGATCCCCTCTGGGCTGTTTTTACTGGTGTTTTTTGGGACAGCTAAACCTCTAATAGGCCAGTGACCTTTCAGATATAATGCCCTAATTAAATTGCCATGATGAGGGCTTTGAATCAGAGGATCACTGCTAAAGATATTAGCTCAATTAGCATCTGTCTCTGTCGAGTGCTTTATTAAGTACCCAGATGGAAGACCCATGAATTGACTGTGATTATACTTTAACAGCACAGAAGTCTGTTTATGTGTGTGTGTGTATCAAATTATAGAGATCAGATGCATCCATTTAAAAAGGTTCAAAATAATTTATCTTCTCTGATTATTTTCTTTACTGTATTCTTGACAGCAGCATTTACAGTTTAATAGAGAAAACTACACAATACTGTCTCTCATCAGGGCTTGATCTCTGTTTGAAAACCAACCATGAAGTATTCTAGCCCATACTGATTCATATTTACACAAAAGTCAGGAAACAAAACAGATCTTAGCTCTAACAGCATTAGCTGGCCCTTTCTGTTCAGTGTTGTGTGTTTTATTACAAGCACAGAGACACACAGACACACACACACCCTAAGGGCTGAGAGGCAGAAGACCCAAAGATGTCTTATTAGACAATTAAACGCAATCTGGTCTTTGCAACCAACTTTTCTATATCACTGATATTTGTCCAATACACAGTAAAATAGAAAAATTATACTGTGTATTGGACTGTGTCTTTTTTTAAAGAATTACCTGGATTAATAAATCATACCACAGTAAGAATTACTACCAATTTAAATATAGTACATTTTGTTTATTAAGACACAATATTTTTTACTTTGACATATGTATATACATATTACAAGGAATGTATATTTTAATAATATATATATATATATATATATACACACACACACACATAAACACATAACACATACACTACTGTTAAAAAAAATAACAAACAAAAAAAACATATTTCTTGAGCATCCAATTAGCATATTATGATGATTTCGGAAGGATCATGTGACACTGAAGACTGGTTTCAACTGGATGAAGGCTGAAAATTCAGCTTTACCATCATAGGAATAAATTGCATTTTAAAATATATTTACATACAGACGTGTTTAAGTAGTAGTAATATTTTGCAATTACGGTTTTGTATTTTTAATTCAATAACTTTTTAACAGTATTTACATAAAACATTTTAACTGTTTACATGATTATTTTAATATATTGCATTTAATATACATTTTATACATTTCAATTTTGAACCACAATTTATACCCAATAGTGTAGTTTAAAAAACACAGTTTAAAATGTGAGGGAATAAATGGGTTGATAAACGCCTCAAATAAATGGCAACATTTGTTCATGCCACCAACACAGCAGAGGAAAACTAGGTGAATCAGTCATTTCAAGGTATTAAATATTTAAATGAAAAGAAAAAGAAAAGATTATTATATATATATATATATATTCAGCCCAGAAAAACTAAATCTGTATCCTTGGGTGTCAAAACTAGCATTTATACTATTTCCTGAACTGCACCTGAACTTCTATTTTTTTATTTTCCAAACATCAGTTAAATTAAGTTTTTAAAAAAATATTTACTCTATTCTTTACTCTATTTATGCTTACCATCTCCATAGAGAAAGACCAGGCCGAGGACCATACAGAGAGGGTGGACGTTAAACTCTTGAGCTGAGCCGTCCCAGGCGTAGCCTCCCCGGTAATGTCCCATCCACACACCTGTGATCACCACACATGTAACCCCCAGCACCTGAGAACACACCACATACCACGGCAAAGTCCGCAAGCTGCCCGCGCTCAACGCCATACCCTCCATTACCTGCTGGGACACTGAGATGAAAGGAAGAAAGAAAACCTTTAAGGGATGTACAAGACTCCACCTCTATGCATATTACATATTTAATGAATGATATGGATAGTGGATTTTCTTTCTTCACGTAAAATATCATTGCGACCCGGACACGTTCAAGATATAGAGAGCATAGATCCTAAAATAGTTACACTCAAGTAGTGAAATCATTAGTTTAATTAGAGAGTAACTCAACCCCTGGTCAGAGCCCAGCGGAGGGGCGTGCACCTGAGACCTGTGTCTCTCTGTAGGCAAGGGTGTGGTGAGCTGGTACCTGCTTACATCACGCAGTACCACAACATCTAATAGGAAAATTCAACTGCAGTAGCCACCGTTCAACCTGAAGAGGGCAGCACTCAGACGTTTTTACCAATTCAAACACTTAATACCCAAATCAGGGACGTGCACAGGAATTTTGAGGGGCAGTTGCTCTGACCTGAATAAAGGGCACCCCCCCTCCCCCCTCCTCCCCACTCACGGGCTATATGAAGGAATATATTCAGTTGAATTTGTCCCCTTCCAAGTTGCCTTATCTGGCCGTGTTTATGTCCAAACGCAATGCCTCATCTTATGGTCTTATAATTATTTATAAAGATTGCAAAATGTCAGAGATGAGACAAATGAGCAAAAGAGTTCTTTATATTGTTGTTTATTGTTTTTTTTTAAATTATTATTTATTTATCTATTTATTTATTTGAAAAGAAATAATCTGGATTGAATGGAAAAAACTCGAAAAAATAAAAAACGCTTAGATTTCGGGAAAAAATACAATTCTTTTTTTGCCAATCCTGACCTCCCCCTGGGGCCCTAAGCAAAATTCTGCTAAGGGGCCCTCTACCTGATCTGTGATGCCGTGAGCCATGTAAAACATTTGCCATTGCCACTCAATACCGCCCAATACAATCCTCCCTCATTTAAACAAAACAGTCAAAGAATAAGTACAACAATATAGAACAGAATGAGGTTCAAACAAACAATATTTACTGAATAAAGCATTTTTATAGAATGTTAAGATAACAAGTGAATATTAACGTAAACATAAACAAGAAGAAAATAATAAAGTACAACCCTGAACTTTGGCTTTTGGGATTAACTTTGGTTCTCTCTACAGCCAGGGTATTTTCGGAATCAGTAGCCTATGATTTTTATTTATTTATTTATTTATTTTTATGCATGTTAAAGCAAATCTTAATTTATGGTTATTTACTGAGGGATTTGCATCCATATTGACCAGAATGTCCATCTAATCATCATTTTAAATTCAATATAGCCTATAAATCAATAGTCAATCAATGTCAAATTGCCAATACATTGGTTTATATCTTGCATAATTAGTGCAGTTGTTTAGAGTTTTTAACTACACTGAGACTAGATAATCAGTGTCTTTATAATGTGTACTTTGATTGGGAGTGCCATCATTCAAGTATTGTACAGTATTTCTCTGGTCTCCACATTTCTGCTTGAAAAATGCGAGTTTCATTTCGTGCACGCGCATATGAACGCAACACACGCGATGCGGTTATGTTTTCCGAGCTGCAGTAAACAAACACTGTTGTTGCCCTTTGTCGTTTATCAAAAACAAAACGTAATAAATAATGGTATTTTACTCTCACTTTTGTCAGGCAAAAAGTGATGCAAGAGATGCATTGCCTGCCCAGACAAAACCATCAAACTTTGCTGACACTAGAGAGTACAGAACACAAGTTTACCTGACTGCTGTTCCCGCAATTCACTCTCATGTTTTTCTTCTTCCTCTTTTCGTGACGAGAAGGATAGTTTCGCTTCATTTTGTCATGGACTTCGTACACATTAATTAGCGCGCGACACGAGATGGAGGCGCAGCCTGAGTAATTTAAATTTGCGGTGCCTTACCATACGGTCGCGTGCAGTCTATAGTCTCGTGGAAACAGTTTGAATTTCAATTTTTTTTTTTTTTTTTGGAAGTGAATGAGGCTTTGCGATTTTTATATTACTTTTTGTCTAGGCCTAGGTGAAATTCTACATCCATTGTACGATTTTTTTTTTTTTTCCTCAGAAGGGCAACCTGAGTCGAGAAGGGCATATGGGCAGTTGCCCGGGCAACCTGAGCAACCCCCCTGTGCACGTCCCTGACCCAAATGTCAAAAAATTTACTCAAATCAATGAACAGCATTAATAAAGCCCAAGTCTGATTATTAACTTAAAGTTGTTTTAGGGTTTATTACCTTTTAATAAAACTAATAAGTGTAAATATGCTAGCTACAGGCATGAAATAACGAATGCACAATCGTTTCTGTAATTGCAAAACATCCATAGTGATTAATATTTGCGGCAAAGAAGTTGCATTAATGTATGCAATTGCAATAAGTCTTCATATTGTTGTCTGGATATTATCCAATGGATAATCACGTGATTTCTGTCGTTTGCATTATGAAACCTTAAGTAAACACATTATATGCAGATAAAACCCTTCAGTCTCCTGTGTTCATCATGTGGTCTTTGCCAGACTTACGAAAGCACAACATCACCCTCGTGTAAAAACAATGACTGCGTGCATGATGATTAACAAGCTTAAACTTCCACTTAGCTGGTGCAAACACATCATGTTTAGAGGTCTAGAACCACTAACCTCGTCGTGATAATAACACGTTTTAAGATGAACCCTTGGAAAACAGTGAGAAAACTCCTCTAGACGTCATGCACACCATAATCCAGAGCTAATGCCATTTTAAACATTATTTTCCACTAAATTATGATGCAGCAGCAGCATCACACGCGCTGTCAATAGTGTGAAAAAGTGTCACTCACCTGCGCCACGACTCCAGAAAGCCGGAGGAAAGGGCGTGTTTTTTATTATTGTGTATTTTAGACAAGAGTCACGAGATCTTTGTTGCTCGGAGGGGTTTTGTAACCTACTTTCAATCTGATAATCTCTCTATACAATTAACTCGAATTCTCTGCTGATTTAGACGCGCGATTCACACTCCTGTCTGGCATTTACCACAGTAACTTCAGCTCACAAGGACTTGACGCACTTGGAAGTTGACGGGCAGATGTTAGCCACGCCCCCGCGCTATCACTATTGGCTTCTGCTCGGGAGATGGGAGGGGTTATTATGCAGAGGATGGTGCTTCCGTTGCCTTGGTAACCTGCATCTTTGTGTGATTGATCATGTTGTCTAACCATAGGCCCTGCTTAAGCCATAGGCCTATTATATGTCAGCACTTCCAATCATTTACATTGCAGGGAGGATGGGCATGCTCGCATCTAAACAGTAGGCTAACCAATCGATCAATAATAATTGATTGTTTATTTATTTATTAATTTGTTATTAGTGATGCCTGTTTTTGACTCTTTATAGGGTTATACTACCACACAAAATATATTTTTAATGTTTTTGAAAAAGTAAATCTCACTGCTCTAATAATTTTGGCCAAAACTGTATATTCAAATGTAATTTTCCACAGTTCTGCTCAAAAGTTTACCTTCCCTTTGCAGAATATGCAAAATGTTTATAATGGATGATCAATGGCTGTTTTATGTCATAAGTAATTTTTTATAACTTTTGAAAAGGATCACGGTGTGTAATCCTTTCATATTTTGTGTAAAGAACATATTTGTTTTATTTTTTAGTACTGCCCTCAGTCATTGACCATCCAGGTAACAACACTAAGATTCAAGAGTAGGCTATGTAAACTGTTGAACTGTTCATTTAAATTCACTTATTATTTTGTCTTCTTGTGGACTCGGCTTGTTTCGTGCAACAGCTTATTCGGGACATTACTAAAAAAATAACATGCACACTTTAAGGGTCCTCTTATTTTGTTGAAATGATGAAATGATTTGTGTAAACTGCAAAACTGTATGTCGATTTGCCTTGTCAGGACAGAATTATCTGTTGAGTTCATTTGCATATAGCCCACAGGCACAGCATTGTACAAGCTGAACCTTGAATATCATCTTTTATATTATATCACACACCGACCACAAGAGGGATGCAGTGAGCTGTGGATATAGCTGCAATTCTCCTGTCTCGTCACTGGCCACAATATTAGAGTTTATGCTGACATAATGTGTATTCATGATGCGTCACAGCACTGACATTATCTTCAGCGATAATCCCGGTCTTCGTCAATAACACCATTCTTCCCCTCACTTTCCCTGTTCTTTTCATTTCCTGCCTTTCTGCTGGAGGTGGGAGTGAGTGATGAGAGATGACATTTCGAGTATGACATCACAAAGCAATGACTCACAATTGATTCACTGTTTTACGACTACAAATTTAGAAACTTCCCTCCCCCCTTTGTTTCTCGTCCTTTTTGAGCTAAGGACAAACAGGTGAGTAGATCCAACTTCAGTTTGAGTTTGTCTCACTGCAGCTTTATAAAAATGTCCCCTGTGAAACTTTCCACGTGATACTTGAACATTATGGATGCAGGGATTTCTCACTGACATGCATCTATATTGACGTCTGTCCTGTTTTGACCTTGTTTTACAGGCGCAGCCATGAATATGAATGGGAATTGCATGGTCCCGCGGGTCCCGTTAAGCACAGCAGGTTTGCACAAGGCCCGCGGCTCCAGTTCCAGCTTGGCCCACCCTGGCCGGCCCCACGCCAAATAACAACCAATCTTTGCAAAATTGCTGCAATATTCAATTCAGATCCAGAGGGAGCTTTTGCTTTCGGCTTCTTGTTATTTAGAGAAAGCAGTATTAGAACGTGGCCGCGGTCTTCATAAACATTCAAACCATTTTAAACCGCTCATGAGCAAGAAGATGCAAAAGAAACTCATGTTGATTCCCGCGCACACAGAGAGCTGCGTCTCAGACAGACCTTATCAGAGTCAACCGTGTGCGCGCATATGGGCAGCTCCTTTAGCAACAGGGGTGGTAGCCATGGTAGCAAAGGAGAGTGACAGTCGCCCAGCCAATCATTGCATTCGTTCCGAATGGAATAAGTAGCTGTGCTTATTGCAGCCCTGAGAGGAATGGGCTCTATGCACGGCGTTATTTCCGGTGAAGGATTAAGGATGCTCGATAACTTCCGCCGATCATAGAGTCCAATGCAATACCGAGAATTTATATTGAATTTTATACTCCATGGTTATACTAATGAAACGTTAGTCACAAAAACAGATAAAACAGACACCCCTCGTTGTGTTTATGCTTCTTTTTAAAATTATATTAAATAAACATAACTATATATAAAATTACATCTAAACGTATGTACGTTTCGTTTCAAAGACGAGAGGACAGTAAATATTGAAGACTCTGCCATAATCCCGTTTTCTCCGGTTTTCCTCCGCTTTAATCTACACAACCGGAAATGGACGAGCATCCTTACGTCAAATGCGGAACTTATGCGTGCATATAGCCCATACAGACGCTACAGAAAAATCTGTTACGAAAAAAAAAAAAATTGTTAACCCCAACCCACCAATGTCACTTAGTCCATCTCAAAGCTGTGAGTTTTTATTTTACGCTGGAATATGTGCGCGTGTTCGAGAGCTAGGTTAATGTTTTGGACCTTAAATTGTGCAGAACGGTGATGTAGTGCTTTCATTTGCTTCCAGGGCACGCTGACCTGCTAACCTGCTAACTAACTTGCAGTACGGAGACGTGTCTTGTCGCCATGACAACAGCCGGCTCTCTGCCTGATGGCCTCCAACACCAGCCAAGAACTAAGAGAGAAGGAAGACAGGGAAACAGCTAAAAATAAAATGCAAAAGAGCACATTTGAAAACAGACACACCAGAAGTCAAAATAATTACTTCCTTATTTTAATTCCTTTAGTACTATAATAATATGACAATATGAGTAGTTCATGATTATATGATATGATGTGTGAGAAATAACGTCACGGATGCTTTTGGGAGGACTATGACTGTGGAGGTTTTTATGCTTTTTTTTTTTTTATGCGCTAATTGTGAGTCATAACTGTTAGGACTGAAGATGCTTCTCCATGGAGACGTGCTGCTGCCCGGATCTCAGCGCTCTCCTACAGATTCGCTTTGGCACATCTACATTTTTAAGCAATGCTATATTTCTATAAGCTACATATAGTAGTCTATGCTTTATTTTAGTATGTTAATACTTTTTTAATACTTTATTTTTTACAGTGTTCTTGTACATGTTACATATAGTTACTGATAACTAAATTATGCATAATTCCACTACTAGCCCTAAACCCCTAGTAAGTATTCCTGTGGTTTGGCTTAAGTGTAGTCAGACTAAAATACATGTTTGAGCTGTGAAAGCAACTGGCACTGCATCTTAAAACATATCAGTGCCATTTTCTCTCAAGACACATCAGTAATGTTTTATGTTTTATAAGTCTTGTTTATGAAAGCTACTTAAATGTCCTAAACGAACTAAGGCCTAATCCTGGCTTAATTTAAGCCCTGACTGTGAAACCAGGCCATAGTTAATTAAGTTAAACCCCAAATTAAGTGTGACCCAGTATATTTAGTAATGGAGATGGTTGTCAGTTGGATTTTTTTTTTTAAATGTTTTTTTTGGTCAATTTAGTCAAATCATTCATTTTCATTTTGCATTTTGCAAAAATATTATGGCTGCGTCCGAAATCACATTCTCTCTTGAGTTGGTACTTATTTTGAATATATTTACACACGCTAAAAAAGTACGTTTTATATGCGAGTATGAACTGGACGGGCTACATTTAGGCTACCATACTTTCATTATCATGTGACCTACTAGAGTCAGTTATGTCCATTCACTGCCATTCATAAATCCACTCCCATGGCCTCATCATGGGATAGTAAAGTGCTTTTTGCGTTCTCTTAACGAGTACTGTGAATTCTGACGTAGGCCTACTTCTTTTGTCCCATACTGTTTTTTGCCTTCTATATGGAAGAGTGCGATTTTTTTTTTATCAGTGCAATCAGTGATCAATTGATTACCAATATTTAAATAGCTACTGAATCAATAAAAAATCAACTAAGATGCATAGCCAGAAAGCAAAAGTTCATCAAGTGAACAATTTGAAATAATCAACCAAAAAAAAAAAAAATCAGTAAATAAAATAGTATTAATTGTGAATGATATATTTTTTAAATACCAAATAAAATAATAAAAAATTTAAATAAATAATGAATATTTTCATAATAAGATGGATGTACCTTGAAATGCAATGTAAGTAGCTTTGAATAAAAGTGTCTGCCAAATGCATAAATGTAAATACAGGTTTGGAAGAAGATGAGGGTGAGTACATGATGATGTAATATTCATTTTTGGGTGAACATTTTCCACATTCAACTATGCAATAACCTGCAACTTTTGAACACACATACATCTTCACTCATGCAGCATATTGTATGTATTAGCTACTGCTAAACAGAGGGTTGGTTTCAGTGTCATTTCCTCAATCTTTGTTCTGCGTTCATCCTCCTCTTATCCTGTTTTCTCTCTGTTGTACCAGGAAGAGAGCAAAAATTCATGTGTTTGTCCTTGCGGCTGTGAGGTAGGCCAGTGGATGTTTTTTGTCGAGGATGGTTTATTTTTAGCTGCTTTTCTTATCTGTCAACATGTGCACATCGATCGCTCCACACCACCTTCACATGAATGAGCCTTTGACGTAAAAGAACAAACTATCTGCTGCTCGCTGGGGAGAGAGAGAGAGAGAGAGAGAGAGAGAGCGAGAGAGAGAGAGAATTTCCCCCTTTGCTTGGAATTCCAGTCTGCTCAGATGCACTGTTTCACTCTCGACTAGTCGGAAGTCTAAGGGTAATGACGGTGTTTAGTGAATATATGTGTATGTATTTATGTTTATGGAATGGCTCTGTAGTGACCTGTGGACTAGAATGAGGCATGCAAGCAGGCAGTCAGATGCATCCATGGCAACCTGGTGAATGTGCAGAGCAGAGTAAACAACCACTATGGGCTGTGTTTGCATGTGTGTGTGTGTGTGTGTGTGTGTGTGTGTGTGAGAGAGAGAGAGAGAGAGAGAGAGAGAGACTGCATTTATGAGACCACCATGATAAGACTTGATTTAAGTGATATTTAGGGTAATTGTGCACTGG